AAGTGTTGGTGAAGATATGAAGAAACTGGAATCCCATATATTGCTTGTGGAAATATCAAATGGTACAGCTTCTTCAGCAAACAGTTCAGCAGTTTCTTTAAAAAGTAAACCTGACAATTCATAAAATTCATAAACTGAATGACCCAGCAAATCCACTCTCAGGTATCTATCCATGAGAACTAAAAACATTTGCCTGAAAAAAAACTTGTATAATACATAAATGTTCATAGCAGCATTACTCACAATAACCAAGAAGTAGAAAAAATTCAAATGCCCTCAACTGGTGACTGAATAAGCCAAATGCAGTACATGCATAAAACAGGATACCACTCAGCAATAAAAAGGATGGACTATCGATATATACTACATCAATGAACCAACATCAAAAACACTTGCTCAGTGGAAGAAGCCAGAAATAAACGCTGCATGAATCATTTACAGTCAGTCCTCCATATCCATAGATCCAATGGAAAACATTTGAGAAAAAGGAATAAAAGATAATATACCAATAAAAAATAATACAAATCTTTAAAAACACAGTTAACAACTATTTACATAAAGTTTACACTGGGTATTATAAGTAATCTAGAGATAATTTAAAGTATACAGGAGAATGTGTGTAGTTTATATGCAAATACACCATTTTCTATAAGGGACTTGAGCACCCAAGGATTTTGGTATCCATGGGGGTCCTGGAACCAATGACCCATGGATAAGTCATTGAAAGACCAAGAGGTGACTATCTATGAAATATCCAGAAAAGGTAAATTTATAGAGAAACAGGATTAATGGTTACCTGGGACTGGGAGTGGGAATGGGGAGTGACTACAAACAGGTCAAGGCATCTTTTTAGGTCTTGTAAATGTTCTATAATTAGATTGTGGTGACAGTTGCCCAATTCTGTGTAAATTTACTAAAAAGCATTGAAATGGGTCAATTTTATAATATGTAAAATGCATCTCAAAAAAGCTGTTTTTTTTTTTTTTTTCAAGAGATGGGGTCTTGCTATGTTGGACTCAAACCACTAGACTCAGGCGATCCTCCTGCCTCAGCCTCCCATGTAGCTGGGACTACAGGTACATACTACTGCACCTGGCTTAAACCTGTTGTTTTTTGTTTTTAAAGAAAAATCAGTGTCACCAGATAGAACCTTTCCAAAGCTCTGCTCCTGACCAGAGAACTGCAGTGTGGCCTCCAGAACAACATGTTCACAGCCCTGCCTGGCATTTAGGCCCTGAGTCTGGCCTCGCCACCTGCCACATCCTCAAGCATCCTACCCTCCTTGTGGCTGCCAAGCACGTGGGCTAAGGAGCCAGAGACCCTGAGGTTCCAGCTCTGTGACCTTAGGTTACTTCACCTCACTGAACCTGTTTCCTCCCTTCTGAGACGGGGATAATGACCCCTCACAAGGTAAGCATGTGGAATTTCTGGGGTGATGCTCCAAATACACCAGGCACAGTGCTTAGCACAGAGTGAATATGCACCCGCTTCACAGGGCTGGCTTAGGCCACAGTCAACATCTCCTCCTGAGAGGCACTGCCTGACCATCCCACCTCAAGTGGGCAGCCCCAGTAGCCTTTGCACACTTTTTGTTTCCCCCTTAGCTCTTGCAGCTCTTTGAGTCTTTTGCCTGTGTCTCTTCTTTTCTGGTCCATTCTCCCTACTGGGCTGAGGTCTCTATAATGACAGGGTCCTCGGCTTTGTCCCTCATTGTCTCAGCAAGGCCAGGCCCAGTGCTGGACAAGTAACATGAAGACAGTGGACATTCACTGAGGTGAGGAATAACTGGTGGCTGCAGTTATTCCTCTGGCACACGGCCTCTCTGGCACTGGCACACTGGGGGACTCTCTTGTGTGTCTGACTACATTCTTCCTGATCTACCCCTCCGTCATGGTCCAGAATCAGCCTCATGGGAGCAATGCATGATGGTAAAGTTGATCAAGCCTGGAGGGGATAATGACTCTGGGAACATGCAAGTGACTGGAACAGGATTGGGCTCAGTGATGGGAAAGGGGAAAAGGTTGGTGAACAGTGAGGGGTCTGGATGCTCACAAGCAACCAACGTCAGCTGAATCACCAAAGGCAGCAGCTCATGTGGAGAGGAGAAGAGGGAAAGTGGACACATATGGGACATGACTTCCATGTATGCCTTCTCTTACTGAAGGACGAGGTTAAATGTACTGGTTGAAACAAAATCTTTACGTATTTCATACATTTGCTCTGAAAACTGGAGTTGAATATAACTGCAGCATTTTGCATTCATTAAATTTCTTTTACCTTCCATGGAATTACGGTTTGAACACACTTTGTGAATGTATGCAAATTAAGTATGTAAACTAGCAAGGCCTAGCACTTAATTTTTTTATTTTTATTTTTTTTTTTAACATGGAGTCGCTCTCTGTCACCCAGGCTGGCGCAATCTCGGCTCACTGCAACCTCCGCCTCCTGGGTTCAAGTATTCTCCTGCCTCAGACTCCCAAGTAGCTGGGTGTACAAGTGTGTGCCACCATGCCCAGCTAACTTTTGTATTTTTGGTAGAGGCAGGGTTTCACTATGTTGGCCAGACTGGTCTTGAACCCCTGACCTCAGGTGATCTGCTCACCTCGGCCTCCCAAAGTGCTGAGATTATAGGCATGAGCCACCACTACTGGCCACTAATACTTAATCTTAAAGGGACTAGAACACTTTCTAGGACCAGGCCTCAGGAATTAAATACAAATGGTCATTAAGAATATTCAACTTGCTCTAAAGAAGCTGGGGCAGATCTTCTTTGGCATCTGCCTCTCATTAAATTAACTCATTTGTTCACTTTGGCAACTGTTTTGTTGATCTGGCAATCTTTTTCACTCACTTACCTAAAGACAAGGTGAATTCCTCAACCCTCAAGCAACTCTGCTAACAGAAAAAGCCCCTACACCAAAACATCCTTTCTTCATTACCATCACCTCCTTTCTTCAGTTTTCCTCTTTCAAACACAAGCAGAAGGAAGGACATGGCTCTCATTACATGGGGCTGTGCACTTTACTGTGCACCTCTGGACAAGTCATTTATTCTCTCTGATTAGTTTGCCCAGCTGGAAAAGAAAGCAGTCAGTCACCAAAGTCCCTTCTAGTTTTAAAACTAAATGGGGCACTAACATCCCTGTAAGGACAGGTGCAGGTATTGTCACAAAATTTTCAGGCTGCCTTGCATACATGATGGGCAGTGGGGTGGGGAGGGGAGGGAATTAGAGAAGTGAGAAAAAGTTGCTTTTTGCACCCAAAAGATCTTAATTAAAGTCCCAGAAGTTACTCAGGTTAACACCTTGGGCAAATTCCTTAACCCCTCTAAGCCCAATTCTCCATCTTTAAATACAGAGAATTTATATGTTGCAGAAGTATTTAAGAGAACTCGAAATAAAATGTACCTGTCTTATATAACACTCAAAAAACATGAGGTTTCCAATCAACTTGGAAGAAGGCACCCCCAAAGGCACTCCCCTGAACCTCTGAAGACTCCAACTTAACTTTCCAACATTCCCCAAAACAGGAGACCAAATCACAAGGGTGAGAGCGCCCAAACAGAGCCAAGCTTATCTTTCTAAATTCCAATTCAGGTTCCTCCCTCTCGGCCTTCCAACACAAGCCATCTCCTCCCCTGTTTAATCCTTGCCACAAGGGAGGTCAACAAAACTATACAACACCTAGAAAGCACCATTTGTGCCAAGTACTCTGCTAGGCTAAGAAGAGAGGCCTCCTCAAAGCACTCTCTCTGTGCGTTTCCTTAACACTTTCACAGACATCATCTTATCCTAGACAGTACATAGGATACATACACATCATTTTTTTTTTTTAACGTGGCCATTGAGGCTCAAAAGAGATTTTTACCCAAGGTCACACAGCTAATGAGCACCTGCAAGACCTCCTAAAGTCTGTCTTTCTAAGCCACCTCCCTAATTCCTCCTTAACTAATTCACCTGTAACCAGCTCTGTGCATTTCATTTAATCTTGGTCCCCTTTACTGGGTTCACTCATCTCTCCACAGTTACTTACAAAGCACCTGCAGGTGTAGACACAGGTGTAGGAAGAGGCCGAGCACAGCAACATGCCCCGGAATTGGCTTGTTTCAATCCCAGTTCTCCCACTTACTATTTACATGACCTTGGATCAGTTCCTTCACCTCTCAGTGCCTTAGTTCTCCTTAATCTTTAATTATGGGCTAAACAGGGCTGTTGAAAATTAAATCAGTTACTTATACAGGGTTTAGTCCAACGCATGGCCCCTACACTGCAATAAGGGCTGCTTTTATTCTTCTAGGTTCTGGGGACAGTCTTCAATCAGACAGGAATCTTAGCCTCAACAAGCTTACACTCTAGCGGTAAATGCAATAAACAAGTAAACAATTACCAATAAAAGTGATCATTGTGATGAGTGCTATGAAAATAATAAATGTGTGACGGGGGGTGGGAGGCTACTTCAGATTGGGTGGTCAGGGAAGGATTCTCAGGGGATATCTGAACTACAAGAATTACAAGGAGCGGGATTTAAGGAGAGCTGAAGGAGAGAGAACAGCCGGCGCACAGACCCTGTGCTGAGCCAGCGGCACCCTCCAGGAAAACACGGCGGTCCTGAGGCTGGGGACGACGTGCGGGTGCCACGCGAGGGAAATGGCCCGAGATGCAGTCCCAGAGGTCGGCGGGCACCGGCCAGCTTTGGAACCAGGTAAGGCAATATCCAAGCGCGCTAGGAACCCACTGGAGGGTTTCAGGCAGGGAAGGGGATCGTATCTGAGCTACGGTTCTTCCAGCGCCCCGCAGATGTGCTGGGGAGAACAGACCGGCGGGGAAGAGCTGAGTCCCCAGGCAAAGCCCAGGTGGGAGGCACCGCGTACCCAGAACTGAACGCGCGCACCTGAGGGGACACTGGCAGGGAGGCCGGGCGCAAATTCAAGAAACGTAAAAACTAAGCCGACCGGAGCCAGGACGTGGCCAGGGCGTCCCTCGCGTCCCAGGGGCCTCGCACCTGTCCGGTTCTCCACTCCTCCCTCTTTGAAGCCGGTGTTGCGAAGCTACAAGGCTGCCAGCCTCGGGCTCGCGTCTCGGTGCAGCCTCTTCCTGGCCTGAGCCCCAGGAGTCTCCCAAGCCCCACGTCCCTCACGCGTGGAAGAAGCATCGGCCCCGCCCTCCGCCCCGCACCTCCCCCGCCCGCCCGCGGCCTCCACGCCCGCCCCGGCCCAGGCGGCGTCGCTCACCCGGACACCCTGCAGCACCCGGACCCGCTCCTCCTCGTCCACTCCGAAGGACACCCTACGGCCCTCGCTGCTCTCCGTGCTCCCCATGGCGAGCTGCTGGAGGGCTGGCAGCCACCAGACCGGGACCCGGCTCCAGAGCAACCGAGCCAACAACGCTTTCCAGGACTCGCGCGGCCGCGGCACACGCCAACAAAACCACGTCCTATTGGTCGCTGCCGGAGGCTTCACCAATCGGGTGGCGCTGAGTCGCGGTGCCTTGTGGGGGTTGCAGTCCTTCCGTCTGGAGGGGTGGGGGCGTGGCGGTCTGCGCCTGCTAGAATGCGTTAAGCTGTGGCCGAAGATGTGTACCGGCGGAGGCCCTGGAGTGGCGGCCTGGGTTCAGGACAGGGTCATGTTCTCGCTTTGGGAGCTCACACTTGAGGGAGAGCCAACGGTGATGTTCTAAGGCCAGGAGACGCCGAGAAGGCCAAGGCGCTCATCTGGAGGCGAGTTTCTGAGGGTTCACCGCTTCATTCATTCAGCATACACGTGAAGAGCATGAAGCGCCGCTCAAGAAAGCGAGTGTCCTGCCCTTGAGAGGTTTACAGTGCAAGGGGGGGAAACAAGTGAAAAGTCAAACACGCATGCAAGGAAACTGACGGTGCTACACGGAAAACTGCATGGTGATGCCACGAGTGAAATGAACAGAAGGCCTCTTTTAATTTCAGCGGCCAGAGCAACTTCTGAGGCAGAAGCTTTGAACTGAGCCCAAGGGAGAGTAGGATTTATGTAGAAGGTAGGGAAAGAGGTTTTCTGGGAGCCTCAGGCAGGAAAAGAGAAAGAGGGGCCATCCCATGGCTGGAAAGTGAGAAGAGAGCAGAGGAGCGGTGAGGAACCAAATCATGTCGGGTCTTGTGAGGCAGGATCTGAGTGTGGGTGCCGCGGGAGGACAGGGAATGGTCCTATGCCTTTAGGAGGCATTGCCCAAGGAGTGTACATACCATGTGTGGAATGCAGTGTGCCAGGCATTGTGTGTAGGCTTCTTACACAGGACCCTATGTGTAAGGGAGCACACAGACGGTTGCCAGTCAGACACTGCTACCTTCAACTAAGCCCCTTTTTGTTCCTCTGAGTTGCTGAATGGCTTTGATTTGCAAAAGTGCGCCTGAAGCCGAGCTGAGGAAAACTAGATGGCTACATGAAAAAGTCAAAAAGTATTTGGAGCTCCTATTGGCAACCTGGATGGAGTGGGGTGTGCCAATTAAGTATTTTGAATGAAACTAGCAGATACTTTTGTTCCTAAAGATTCCATGGTCACACCAGCTCTGGGATGCTTACTGGCTTCTTCACCCTCAGCTATTCTCAATCTCAGAGCCTTACTGCTCTCTCTCAGTCATTCTCTCCTCCTCACCCCTTTCTTACCAGGGATTAGGAAGTGGGGAAATGGGGAAATGGTCAAAGGGTACAAACTTTAGTTATAAGATGAACCAGTTCTGGACAGGCACAGTGGCTCATGCCTGTAATCCCAGAACTTTGAGAGACTGAGGCGGGCAGATCATTCAAGTTCAGGAGTTTGAGACCAACCTGATCAACATAATGAAACCCTATCTCTACTAAAAATACAAAAAAAAATTAGTCAGGCGTGGTGGCACGTGCCTGTAATCCCAACTACTTGAAAGGCTGAGCAGGAGAATTGCTTGAACTTGGGAGGCGGAGGTTCCAGTGAGTGGGACCTCACCACTGTACTCCAGCCCTGGTGACAGAGCAAGACTGCAACTCAAAAAAAAAAAAAGATGAACAAGTTCTGAGGATCGAGTGCACGGCATAGATGGTGAAGGATGTGTTAATTTCATTGTGATAAGCATTATACAATGTGTGTGTATATCAAACCATCACATTGTATACCTTAAATATAGATAATCTTCGTCAATTACTTTTTTTTTTTTTTTTTTTTGAGACAGAGTCTCACTCTGTCACCCAGGTTGGAGTGAACTGGCGTAATCTCCACTCAGTGCAAGCTCCGCCCCCTGGGTTCATGCCATTCTCCTGCCTCAGCCTCCCGAGTAGCTGGGACTACAGGCGCCCACCACCACGCCTAGCTAAATTTTTTTGCATTTTTAGTAGAGACGGGGTTTCACCATGTTCGCCAGGATGGTCTGGATCTCCTGACCTTGTGATCCGCCTGCCTCGGCCTCCCAAAGTGCTAATTAAATTTTTTTTTGAGACATGGTCTCACTCTGTTGCCCAGGCTGGAGTGCAGTGGCACGAATATGGCTCACAGCAGCTTCGACCTCCTGGGTTCAAGCAATCCTCCTGCCTCTCAAGACTATAGGTACATGCCACCACACCTGGCATATATATATGTGTGTGTGTGTGTGTATATATGTGTGTGTATATATATGTATATGTATATGAGACTGGGTCTCACTATGTTGCCCAGGCTGGTCTTGAACTCCTGGGCTCAAGCAACCCTCCCACCTTGGCCTCCCAAAGTGCTGGGATTACAGGGGTGAGCCACTGCACCTGGCCATGGGTCCCGACAGCCACCGAGTATTCAGAGGGCCATCAAGACATCTGTGCTGAGCTAATTCAGCAAAACGAGTGAGAGCCAAAGCTGACCATGAGAGTCTGTGTGGCCTCACTCCCACTGTGAAGAATCCTTGGGGGGTCTTGGAATTTCACAGACTTACAGCAGCATAGGTGAGCCTCATGACAACCAGTATGTTCTTTATCCCCACTTCACAGATGAGAAAACCGAGGAGCAAACAGGTGAAGACAATGCAACATTATTGATCCATAGTAGGAGGAGGATAAAGGCAGTGGCAAGGGAAGTGAAGGAAAGGAAGGGAAGGGAAGCAGAGTTTTTTGAGGACCTTCCTTGTGCCAGGCTTCAGGGCACAAGCACACATGATTTTCATGCAGTTAATCCAGAACCAATTAATTGAGTCCTCAGAATCATCCTGGAGTTTTATTACCCTGTTCTAAGGCCCAAAAAACTGAGGCCCTGGGGAAGGAAGGTGTTGTGATAGGTTTGCTCGTGGCTACCTGGCACCCAGTTTTCCCTTCCCTACAACAGAACCCCAATTTCCTGGGTGCAGGCATGTGCCCAATTAGAAAAAATTGCCTCCTAGGCTCCCAGTAGTCAGATGTGGGACAACTTGAACATCAAGAAGAATAGAAAGAGTGATGGCTTATAGTACATTTAATTGTTTTAAATCCATTAGCCTATTCTAGTGAGAGGGAGGAAGAGAGGGAGAGAGTGACAGAGATAATGGGAAAGAGAGTAGGGAGATTCTTCTTTGCAAAAAAATGCCAGCTAACCAGTACAGCGAGAATTTGATATTTTTTAAATTGCCATTTTTCCACCTTCAGAGGATTAACTGAATGAGGCAAAAATTGTCAAAGGATACTAAAGTCATTGAGTGGAAAAATTGTTGGGGAACAGGCTATTCACCCAATGTGCTGGGATTACCTTGGCCTCCCAAAGTGTTCGGATCACAGGCATGAGCCATCATACCTGGCCACAGGGCCCAACAGCCACTGAGTATTCAGAGGGCCCCGAAGACATCTGTGCTGATTTTTTCCTGCAGCAAAGGAAATTGGGGTTCTGTTGCAGGGAAGTGGGAACTGGGTGCTAGGCAGCCATGAGTGGACCTGTCACAACACCTTCCCTCCCACCCAACCACAGATTTATTTATTACAAAGGGAAAACCATATTACAATGATGACACCTGGAAGTCACTACCTTAACCAAATGACCAAATTTAGCATCTCAAATAGTGGGACCATTTGGCACAATGTCCCTCCCCAAGTGATACAACAAGGAACACAAAACATCTCCCGTGTAGTATTCTCATCAAAAGTGTAACCTGAATCTAATGGCGAGAACACAGTCAGACAAACCCAGAAACATCCTAGGAAACAACTGGCCTGGACTCTTCCAAAAGGTCAATGTCATAGAAAATAAAACCAAAAAAAAAAAAAAAAGATAGCTTAAAAAAGACGAAGGAGGCCAGGAGAAGTGGCTCACACCTGTAATCCCAAAACTTTGGGAGGCCAAGGTGGCAGGATCACTTGGGGCCAGGAGTTCAAGACTAGCCTGGGCAACATAGCAAGATCCCATCTCTAAAAAAAAAAGATTTTTAATTAGCTGGGTGTGGTGGTGTGTGCCTGTAGTCTGAGCTACTCTGAAGGCTGAGGTGAGAGGAGTACTTGAGCCTAGGAAGTCAAGGATACAGTGGGCCATAATTAGACCACTGCACTCCAGGCTAGGTGACACAGTGAGACCCTGTCTCTAAAAAATAAAATAAAATAACAAAATAATAAAACATTTTAAAAAGAGATGGAGGAAGCATAGCACTGAAATGCATCAGTGAATCCTAATTGGATCCTGAACTAAAACAACAACAGCAACAACAGGAAAGCTATCAAAAGATACTTAGGTTTTTTGGGAATGCTTTATATATGGAATAGTGTCCTAGATGATACTGTAGAATTAATGTTCATCTTCTTGTTCTTGGGAAATGCATGCTGAAATATTTAGGAGTGGAGTGCCATAATGTTTACAAGTTACACTCAAATAGTGTGGAAGAGAAATATTAACATTAGGTGACTGTATCTTAGAATCCACTATATTATTATTTCACTGTTTTATGTATGTGAAAATTTTCAGAACAAAAAAGAGGAAGGAAAAAAAGCTTTCCTCAAAGCTGGAAGTGACCACGTGACCCAGCTCTTCGGCAGAACAGCACGGTGCTTATGTGGGATGGGGTACAAGGCTGAGTTCTGCCTTTTTCTAGACTAGCCCCTCAGGCAATTTGTGGAGTCTCTCTGCACCTCAGTTTTCAGAAGGATGTGAGAATGCTGCTGACATTATCTGGAGTATTTGTCCAGAGAGCTTGGTACTAAGGGATCTCATTCAGCAACAGCTGTTGTCATTCAAAGACTTTGTTTTTGG